TTTTTTTTCTAGGCTTGATTGTGTTTATGGGGTGCAGTCTAACACGTGTTAATGCTTCGTTAAAAAAAAACAAACAAACATTTATTTTCCACATAATTTACCTTTATTCCACACAGCTCTGTACCTTCTCTGAGAAACGCACTGAAAATGTCCTGCTTTTTTGAAGCCACACCCTCAGAAATAGGCGATGGGCTCTGATTGGTTAGCTAGCCCAGTGTGCTGTGATTGGCTAAACCGCCTCTAGTGCGTCTAACCGGCCCGCCCCTCACCTCAGCGGCATGTGCTCCAGTTGTATTGTAAACAACGGCGTTGTTAATATCGCTTATCAGTTTGAGCCCGATTGAGAAGCAGAGGATATTATTGAAGAGGATCGTGCAGAACCTGTGCAAGCACGGCTTTTAATGGTAGGCCTAAGTCTTTTGTTTGTTGTTGTCTCATACCTTTAGATATGCTGTTATTGGTAAATGCTACTGCTTATGTTAGCTTTTAATATACGGTTTTATCCTGATTAAAGCTTTAATACAGTACGGCAACTGCACGCGCATCCATGTATAACGCTTCTCATAGCTATGGAAAAGTGTATAATTGGAACAGTTCATTGTTGGAGCTGAGCTGAATGAGAGAAGAGCAGGGGGACAGAGGAACAGTATTAAGAACCGCTGCTTTTGAACATTGATTTTGAAGCTTGTGAATCCATTAGAATCGTTAGAAGACAGCATCGCGATTCATATATGAATAGATTTTTACGTGCACCTTTAGTTTTCTCTTCCTCTTCTCTAAAGCAGCGCAGCATTGACTGCATGATGAAGCCTACAAATGTGCTATTAATTTTAAACAACAGTGCAGAGCAACACGGGTTCGTTCCTTGATTGAATGTTTTTGAACAAATCCAGGGTTTAGTTTCTAATTGAATCAGCCATTTTGAATGAATCGTTTGATTTGAATGATTCAACAAATTACTTCTTAAAACAGGGACTTGCTGCCACCTACTGACAGTTTTATTGTCATATTTATTTAGCCATTCCAAGCCTAAACCAGCCAAGGTGCCAGCACAAACACATTCAGCAAAATATCATTTATCAGTATTGACCAAAATTCCTCCATTTCAGGCCCCAGAAGGAAAACAGACTATAAATAATAGTTCGTTTAATAAAGCTTTTTCATTAAATAACAATCCGTTAAAAAAATTAGACAAATTTCAAATCATTGTGTAAAATTAGCTCCAGGACCCTGCCTGCTTCAACAAATAAATTACAGCATTGACTGCATGATGAAGCCTACAAATGTGCTATTAATTTTAAACAACAGTGCAGAGCAACACGGGTTCGTTCCTTGAATGAATGTTTTTGAACAAATCGAGGGTTTAGTTTCTAATTGAATCAGCCATTTTGAATGAATCGTTTGATTGGAATGATTCAACAAATTACTTCTTAAAACAGGGACTTGCTGCCACCTACTGACAGTTTTATTGTCATATTTATTTAGCCATTCCAAGCCTAAACCAGCCAAGGTGCCAGCACAAACACATTCAGCAAAATATCATTTATCAGTATTGACCAAAATTCCTCCATTTCAGGCCCCAGAAGGAAAACAGCCTATAAATAATAGTTCGTTTAATAAAGCTTTTTCATTAAATAACAATCCGTTCAAAAAATTAGACAAATTTCAAATCATTGTGTAAAATTAGCTCCAGGACCCTGCCTGCTTCAACAAATAAATTGACCACACCATCCCCCCGAAATTGTTTACAATTCGACCAGTGTGTGTATGTAAATATATATATATATATGCTCATTGTTATTTGAAAAGCTAAATGTTCATGTATTTCTTAGTAACACAGCACTGTTCTACATTGTCACTTAACCACTTTTTACTATTACTTTTTCATTCTATGGCCAACTTATAAAAGTGATCCTCTAATTTAAAAAGTTTCCAAAGGTGGGTTTTAGCAGCAATAGAACCTTTCCGTGAACAGTTCTTAAAAGAACAATTTTTCTTAGAGTGAAGAACGTACTATAACAGGTGTTTTAGCTTGTTAATTATAAAAAAAAAAAATATAGATTTAATGTAGATTGGATGCAGAAATTAACATTTTAAGAAATTGCATAGCAAAATTAAACATTATAGCCATTACATCTCATTGACTGGAAAAGCCACTATATGGCCCACATTCTACCTTTTCTGATAATAAAATTCCACATAACTTCTCCTGGCCTGCTGAAACATGCCCATTGCCATTACATGACCTTTCTTTTCTTTCTTCCTAGGACATCCCAGCTGGCTAGACAAAGATCTGATACACATTTTCTGTGTCAAAAATGATTGTCGGATGTAGTGTGGGAAGAACAATAATCTCTGATTTCTGTGAAAAGAAAAAACAATTTTTTTTGTTATTGTCAGCACAAACGAAGGCCACACTCCATTTTATGTAACAACAGAGTCTAAATAACAAGATATCCGGATTCTAACGAATACTCACTTCTGTAATCTGCTTCTACTCAAAAAAAAGGGGGGGGGGGGGGGGTTTT